AGATGACTTTTCTGCTTCCATTGAGATGATGATATTAGGGTGTTTTCCCTTTAATCTGTTAAACTGATGCATGACATAGAATTTCTCATGTTAAATCATCCATTCTTTGGCCAAACGTAACTCTGTTTTGAAGATGTATTGATATTTTTAAACAAATTGCTCGAATGACTCTACTAATATTTTATATTGGATGTTACCCAAGAGTCATACTTCAGATTGACCATTCTAAGATTGCAGTATGATTTTTTTTTTTCTCAAATCATTCTTGTCTGAGTTTTGTATTTGGGTTATCTTAGCCTTCGAAAATGGACAGAGGAGTAGTCCTATCCTCTCCCCTTACCAATTTTGGCTTTAGAACAAGTTTATATAATACAGAGGTTGTCTATTTCTTATGAAATTGGTAGAACTCACTTTTAAATCACCTTTGCCTTGGTTTGGTTTTGTTTTCCTCTTGTTTTTTTGGTTTGTTTTCCAGGTAGATTTTATACTATTGATTCACATTTTTTAATGGTTATAGGTCTCTTTGGTTTTCTATTTCTTCCTGAGTCAGTTTTGGTAAGTTATATTTTTTTTTCTATGAAAATTGTCTATTTTCTCTGAGTTTTCAATTTTGATGGCATAATGTTCATATTGTACTCTTCCTAACTTTAAAATCTGTTACTTGTGTAGTTTTGTTGTTTTTTCAATCCTAATGTTGTTTGCTTGTGCTTTTCTTTTCCTTCGTCAGTTTTGATATTTAGAGCATTTTACTTTTTAGTTCTAAATATTTTCCAGCTTTAGTTAGAAAACCTCTGTGGACCATTGATTATTTTTAATATCTTTAGTATTAATTATTTGGTTCTTTTTAGTTTTATTTTACTGGAGAATGGGTCTATTTAATAATCAGTTTTTTTCTGACATTTGTCAAGAGTTGCTTTTGCTTTATAAAAGGCTAGTTTTTATAATGTTATCTGTCTGTTTGAAAATAGTACACTCTTTTTAATTCCTGGGTCCAGGTTTCTATGTGGGTCTGTAAGATTGAGGTTCTTAGTTTGTTGTTCAAATTTTTTATATTCTTAACAGTTTTATTTCTTTCTGATATATCATTTGTTATTTAAAAAGTCTTACCATGATACTGAATTTATTAATTTTTCCTTGTTATCATCAATGTTTACATAGCCCTTTGTAGCTACGTTGTTAGGCATATTATTCAGAATGTTATTCTGAGGTATTTTTGTTTATAATTATGTTAATGAATTTTTAAAAATCTTAATAATGATTTTGCCTTTAGAGTCTATTTTAACTGATAGAAATATAGCTACCTTAATGTTCTTTTAACGTTTGCCTTATATGTCTTATGCATCCTTTTACTTTTAACCTTTCTGTGTCCTATGTTTAGATATAAATCTTTTATATCTTTGCTATAAACTTCTATATCTTTGCTTTTAAACCTTTGCTAATTTTGAAAAATATTTGTTCATTTTGGCTTTTTCTTTAATTTTCTTTAATTTTTTTCAGTGTTCCAAAATTCATTGTTTGTGCACCACACCCAGTATTCCATGCAATACATGCCCTTCTTAATACCCACCACCAGGCTTACCCAACCCACCACCCCCCTCCCCTCCAAAACCCTCAGTTTGTTTCTCAGAGTCCACAGTCTCTCATGGTATGTCTCTATTTGTCATTCAATTTTTACAGTCCTGTCTTTTAATAGGTAAATTTAGTCCATTTATAAATTTCATAATATATATTTGTATTTTTTCAGTATCAGTATATTTGTATTTATTCTTAGTGTTGATCTTATGCTATTTACTGTAGATTTTGCTTATTTGTTTGCATGCATGCTTTATTTTCCCCTTTTCTGCCTGCTGTTGACTTGGTCAAGTGTAGTTTAATTTCTCTTTTTATTTACTTTTTTGGAAGCTATACATTCTATTTCAAATATTTTAATGTTTATCTTTAAATTTTTAATATTTAAGGTTTACCTGAAGTCTAGAGTCAGTTTCTTACCATATTTCAAAGCCAAACAAGAAACTCAGTTTATTTTATACTATATGCAAAAATCAACTAAAAATGAATCAAAGACCTGAATATAAGAGCTAAATCTATAAAACTCTTAGAAGGATATATAGGGGATAGCTTTATAACATTGGATTTGGCATTGATTTCTTGGAAATGACATTCATAGTATCCACAATGTCCAAGAGATTTAAGTAACCAAGGTATCTATCAGCAGATGGGTGGATAAAGGAAATGTGGTATTTAAGTACAAGGGAAAATTATTCAGACTTAAAAAGAAGGAAATTTTAACACATGATACAACATGGATAAGCCTTGAAAATGTTAAGTGATTTAAGCCAGACACAAAATGTCAAATACTGTATTATTTCATGGCTATGAGGCACCTAGGGTAGTCAGACTTAGAGATAGAAAGTACAGTGGTGGTTGTCAGGGCCCAGGATGGGGAGGGAGGTGGGCAGGGGGCAGTTAGTGCTTAATGGATGCCAAGTTTCAGTTTTGCAAGATGAAAAGAGTTCTGGAGAAGGACAGTGGTGACTGTTGCACCACAGCGTGAATGTGCTTCATGCCAATGGAGTGCATGCTTGGAAATGGTTAAAATGGTAAATTTCATGCTACAGGTATTTTACCACAATTAAAAATAATGATTAAAAAGTAAGTAAAAAATAAAGATGAGAGAACAAGAAACTTCAACCACTTGGATCCTAATTGTTCCCTCAGTAACACATTACTGTTTTCTGGTATTTTAGTTCCACCTGATTTTCAACCTTTAAATAGTTGTTCCCTCCTCCTCTGACAACCTGTTTCTCCTCTTTTTCCTACTCCTCCTCATCCCCTTCCTCTTTGTCACTATTTTATCCAATTAATGACTGTATGTATGTTAAAGTTTAGTAATACCTTTGCTCACAATTGCTTCTACTACCACATTCTTCCACATTAGTTAAACTTCTTGTTTCCTTAAGTGTGTCCTTATGTTTATCTGGAAGAGTGTGTACATGGAAATTCACTTACTCTTTGTGTGAAAATACCTGTATTTAACCCCCATTCATGTATCATAATTAGGTGACAGTTATTTTGTCTTGTCACTTTGAAGATTCAATTCCATTTTCTTCTCTCTGCTGTGTCAATACCAATAATTCAGCTGCAGTCTGCTTGTCATTCCTTGGTAGGCAATCTCTCTATATTCTTTACTGTTTTGAAGATGTCTTTGCCTTTGGTACTCTGCAGTTTAACTGCGGTGTGGATAGAAATGGATCTGGTTTTATTTTTTCATATCTTTTACCTGTTCACTTTTTATTTTTTTTATTTCAAGACTAGCTTTTTGGTTTTGTGGGGGTTTTTTTTCCCTATTTCTAGAACGTCATTTCATTTTTTTCATTTCTCCTATGATTTTTTATTTTAAATTTTTAATCATTTTAAAACATACTTCATGTAGCTTCATGTAGAATTGATAATTGTCAGGGGTCTAATTATATTGCTTTGATTTCTGATTTTTTTTGGGGGGGGGGTAATGGACTGTTTTCTCATTTAGTTTGTATTTTTGGACCATGAGCTCATCTTCAGTGGGCTTTTATGTGTGAGAATTATATGCAGCGAGGTTTGATCATGTGTCCTGTAAAGTAGTGAATTTTGAATAGTAGTAGTTTTGAATTTGTTATGCCAAGTTTTGGGGGTGCACCTTACCAGGTGCCATTATTTTTGCCAGTTCCTTGGCTTGAGGACTTCTGGATCCCAGAAGCACTATGATTTAGAATACCCACTGCTGGGACTATACGGCTGAAAGTGATGAATTTTGGGAGGAGCAATTTTTCTTCACGTTTCAGCCACAATCAATACGGACAGTCTCTTTCTCTGAATGGCAGATTTTCATAATTCACCTTTTTACTTACCCTCTAGAGTAAAGGCTATTATTATAGGGGGTGGCCTCTTGCTTCAAACCTCACATAAGCTGAGGACTGTCCCCTCGTCCTCATGGATATATTAAAATCCAAGTATCTAGAAAATGAAAACCAACATTCCCCAGCCCCAGTCCTGCTATAACGCTCATTGCTCTGGTTCTCAAACACTTCTTGATAACCAGCCCCTAAGAATTTCTTTTTTCTCTAAGGGCTCATTTATATATTTATTAAAAAAATGGTTGTTGTATTTTATCTAGTATTTTTAAGAGTTTGCAGTGCAGGAGTTTTCAAGTTACCTTATCTCAGTATTACCAAAGAGGAAGTCTATTCTAAGGATTACTTAAGAATGATATTTTTTTCTAGAAAATCCAGAATATTAACCATTATTCTACCTTGAGAATATTCTTTTTTGATACACTTCTTTAAAACATACAAAGAAACAATTTTATTTCAGAGTACCTTGCAAGATGCATGCCCAAGATCATTTATATTGATTATTTTCTCACTTACATCTAACTTCCCATAATTACATGCGCAACTGTTTTTCTCTACTGGGACTTTATTTTTTGAAGAATATGTTTCAAACCCCTTTGTAATTTTTTAAATTAATAGGTAGTTTGCAGTACATTGTTAATAATTATTTCCTTAGGTTTCAGTTAAGGTGTTTTAAAATAATTTCTGGGTTGCTCATAAGTATTGGCCTGTTTTTTTCAGGCTATATTTTCCTTTTGACAAATGTAGAGTTTTCCTAGTTCCATTATTTATAGGAATGTGTTGGTTAGATAATATCAATAATAAGAATGTTCTGTACTAAATACCCAGTTTGTTTTTAATGGCTGTGATGTTCAAATCCTATCGTTACCCTAAATGTAGCCAATGAAGTACCATCAATAATAAAGATTCTATAGTATTGTGAAATCTGGAGGACTGTTAGTGTGGAGATTATATACAATTGAACTTATACGTACAAGGAGGCTAAATTCAGGTAATGACAAAGTTGTAGTTTTGAAATGATGTCTTGTGTATGTGAGTAAGTGTAAATATTTTTTAATTAATTATTGTTTCTAATATAGTAGATTACTAAAAATGTGTGAACTTCCTCAGGTCCAGTCCTCAGTGGCTGTTGGAACTCCAGATTATATCTCTCCTGAAATCCTTCAAGCCATGGAAGATGGGAAAGGGAGATATGGACCTGAATGTGACTGGTGGTCTCTGGGGGTCTGTATGTACGAAATGCTTTATGGAGAAACACCATTTTATGCAGAATCTCTGGTGGAGACATATGGAAAAATCATGAATCATAAAGTTAGTATATTTTACTATTTTTTCAATTCAATGTGGTAAATGATACAATAAATTTGAAGTGATGTGATAGTTAAAAAATATTTTTTTAAAAACAAGAACATTCTAATTTCTATGCTAATAGGGGACCTGACAAACATGAATAATCAAAATCCATTAATTATACATAAAATTATTAGTTCTTACCTTCTCCTGTATTTTATTAGAAATGCTAGTAAATAGGAAATTGGTCTCTTCCGTAGAATAATGAAGTGGGTAAGCAGATAATTTATATCCTTACTACTATAAGTACTCATGACTAGAATGCATTTAAAAAATTCTCATCCTTAGCCATCATAAATTAAAAGCAAATCAAAATAAAACTGAGATATCCTTTTTCCCCCTGGCAAAGATGAAAAGAAAAATTCTACTCTGTACTGTGAATAACCCAGTAAGATGGGTATTGTTGGACATTGTCAATAGGAACTGATGTAACCTTTCTGTCAACAAATCTGTAAATAAGCATCTAGAGCCTTGAAAAGGGTTAGAACTTTGGATTGAGCAACTTCAGGTTTAGGAATCTGCCCTAAGGAAGTACTCAGTTGAACCAAGATATATGTGCGAGGATACCTGTTCTGGTCTTCTTTAGGATCAGTGCAGTGAAAAGAGTCCAGATTCACCACAGGAGCAAAGTAATGGGGCCTTTAGTTCCTGATGAAATAGAAATAAATTGTAATAAAGAGAGGAGGGTTCTGATTGATCGATTTCAGAAGACTGTGAGCTGCTGCAACACCTGGAATAGGAACGTCCCATAAAAGGGGGGTGAGACAGTTATGATCAGTTGCTTCATGTATGTATCAGTCCCTTAATGCTCTTCTGCCTGGCTGCAAGGATAATCTGCCAAATAGTCATGGAGAGTCAGAAGACAGGGGACAGCTAGCTACCGCGTTGTAAAGAGCACGTAAATCATTTCAGAGAGAAATCAGTGAGAGGTGGGGGCTCCGAGCCGGACTCTGGAGTCAGGCCGCTCTTCCAAAAGCTCTTTGGTTTACTAGTCGTGTGACTAGGAGTGACTGGCTTGAACTCCCTGGGGCTTTGGGTCTCTTCTGCAAAACCAGAATAATAGTGGCACCTGCCTTCAAGGATTGCTGTGAGGATTATAGGCATTAAGTGAACAAAGAGTTTCCATGAGTGTCAGGTGCATGGTCCATTCTTCACAGGTGTTTACTGTTGTTACTTAATGCTTGGTTTGTGGCATATATGAACATCAGGAGTCATATACACTCTACTGAAATTTTGAGTCAGTCTTCTTTTAATAAGTTCTCTTCATTCTGATAGCAGTTTAAGGTATTTTAGCATTCAGTATATTCTTTCTACGGTGCATGTGTGAGTGACTAAGTCACATATAAAATTAAAAGTTCATTTAGAAAAATGCTCTTTTGTAGTATGAGTACTTTGTGCCAGTGTACACTTATTAGACATTTTTAAAAGATTTTATTTACTTATTAGACAGAGATCACAAGTAGGCAGAGAGGCAGGCAGAGAGAGAGAGGGGGAAGCAGGCTCCCTGCTAAGCAGGGAGCCCGATGCGAGGCTTGATCCCAGGATCGTGGGATCATGACCTGAGCCGAAGTAGAGGCTTTAACCCACTGAGCCACCCAGGCGCCCCCACTTATTAGACATTTTTAAAAGAAAATACATTTTTAAGAAAATAAATGTTAATCTGATTTATGTTTTGTTCCTATTATTCTGTGTCTAGGAGAGGTTTCAGTTTCCAGCTCAAGTGACCGATGTGTCTGAAAATGCTAAGGATCTTATTCGAAGACTCATTTGCAGCAGAGAGCACCGACTTGGTCAAAATGGAATAGAAGACTTTAAGAAACACCCTTTTTTCAATGGAATTGATTGGGATAATATTCGAAACTGTGAAGCACCTTATATTCCAGAAGTTAGTAGCCCAACAGATACATCGAATTTTGATGTGGATGATGATTGTTTAAAGAATTCTGTAAGTATGACATTGCAAAGAAGCTCTTTTTAATGTGGTTATGAAGCAATTTTATGGACCTCCTTATCAATTACTAGACAGTTATCGTGGGTTCTAGTATTTATTTTCTCATACATTGAGAAATTGAGAGAGTTCGCTGAGGTGAACATGTCTGTTTATGACAAGGAAAAAATTAGACTTCACGTATTTACCAATTAGATCAGTTATGCCATGAGGTTTCCTAGGAAGAGGAGAAATTAGATGCTTAGAAAAGTGGATTTCATGATGGCAGAGTGAGAGTTTGGCAAATCTCTCCTTAAAAAGCTCCATGATACTGGACAAATTGTCAAAAACAACCATTTTGGGGCATGACAACTCAACCCAAGGGAAATGAATTGAGAAACTGTCCCACCCCATTCCTTCAGCCTGGTTGGGGCTGTCGAGCTGCTGGCAGGAGGCTGACTTGATTTGGAGAGCTCCCATGCCCAGTGGTGTTGCCACTAAAAGTAGTAAATTGGTAGGAAGGGAAGTGGGGAAAATTCTATAGCCTTGCTCTCCTGAGGTTGTAGGCTCCTTGGGGCTGGTGGCAGACTAGCAGAGTCGCCAAACACTGGACCACTCTTAGCTTGTGGGCTGACATAGGTCGTCAGCCTCTGCTCTACACCTTTAGGTTACATTGTTACAATTTAGGACAATAAGAACATAAAATTTTATAGATGTTGCCCTTTTAGCCTTCTTAATTTGAGCTTTATTTTTTTTCCATTATTTTATTTCTTATGGTTTTAATTCTGCACTAAAAATTTGTATATTGATTTTCTATCACTGTTCACTGTTCAGTAAGTGGCATGTGCAAGGCAGGTAAAGATTTCTTCTGCTTCTTTCTCCGGACCTCCAAAAAAAAAAAAAAATGGACTTTCCTCATCAGTTTTTTATTATAAGAATTATATTTATTGTAAACAGAAATTTGCATCTTTCCAAATTAAATACATAGTACAGTCGATTCTGATTATGGTAGTTACATGTTCTGTAAAGTTCCTGTGTGTGCTGTAGTTGTGAATATTGAACCATTATTCCTAGGGGGAAATACAGGGGTAGGTTCTTTTGAGCCTCCGGTCATTTCATTCAACCAGTCAGTACGTAACCTTGTTTTATGTATGTTTCTCTTTAAAGAAACCTTATTGAATACATATATTGTTGATTAATTCACAGCAAGTTCACAGCCAACAGCAGTGTAACTTGGGCCTGAGCAAAGCTTCTCTAACACACATACGTATTTGTCTGGCACATTGCAGCTGTCTTGCTTAGAAACTGTCTAGATGGCCGTTCTGCACTATGCGTGGAGGACATTTTAAACAACACAGTCACCCATAAAAAGCAGAAAAATCTGAAAGACATGGCACATGCAGACCTTGGAAGGAGTACTTTTTGTCGTATCAGAGCTGAAACAAGAAGGCAGAGCGTCTCCTTGTTCAGTCCCAGCTGGAAACTTAGGCATCAGGCAGCTCAAAAAAATGTTTTTGTTCTGCATGTGTCTGCTAGTGATTGCAGAAGCACTGTGAATATTGATTTTGGGTTACAAATAATTTTTAGCGATGAGGCAGATCTGCACATATGCATACATGAATAATCACTCTCAATGTCAGACTTTCCATCTGGAGTTTAGTTTTATTAGAATATTACAGTGGCAGTGCTCATGTCTGGATTCTAGATCACAGCACATCTGCACCAGACTTAATCTCTGTTTCTAAATTGAACAGCCACGTATTTCCTATTGATCGTTAATATTATAGGCCAACCTACAGATCACGGTTATTTATTTCTTACCAGATGTGTTTTCCTCCTTCAGGAAACGATGCCCCCACCCACACATACTGCATTTTCTGGCCACCACCTGCCATTTGTTGGTTTCACATATACTAGTAGCTGGTAAGTTGGAAAAGTTAACATAATTTGGACAACTTAAAGCAAATTAAGATAAATTTAAGAAATATGTAAGAAAGCCTTGTAAGTCAAAACAGTTTTTAAATAGAGGCCGAAGCTACTGCTTGACAAATTTAGATGTTCTGTAACGAGTAGAACATAGGAGAATCTTGGGTCATTTTGGAGGAGAAATGGAGCTCACAGTGTTCCTGTTGGCACTGGGGCAGGAATCGAAGAGTCTTTTGCATTAGCAAATACACTCCAGGTGCCAAGTGCCAGCACCAGCCACCTTAGTCCTGTTTTCACGGACCACTTCCCCGTCCTCCTTCCCTGGTGTAAGCAGAGTATGATTGTCATCAATCCTTGTGTGCCCTCCCTCAGGTGCTTGACTGCCTCCTGGTCTCCTGCATGGTTCTGCTGAGTTGACATCATCATTACAGTTCAAGTTTCTGCTCAGACCCGTGCAGTTCAGTGTCCAGAGAAAAGCACCTGACCATTCTCACTGGTCTCACCTTCCGTGGTCATGATTACCAACCTCTAGGACCCTTCTTGTACCTGTGCCCGCTCTTCTGCTCTCCCTTGATGAGCTCATTTAACCTTGCACGGAGAGGTCGAGGCAGGCAGCTTTCACATGCTCCTCTGCATGGTCCTGCCTGCCCGCCTCTGGCCCCAAGCACTCGCCTGTGCAGACGCACAGTAGGGGCTCCCAGTCTGTCCTGGCTTGTGTGTCCTCTCAGGCTGGGCATCATAGCTCCTTCCCATCATAGCACTGCCGTCTCTTACCTTCCAGGCCGCTTTCCTGACTTCTCACCTTTTTGGCCAGTCCTCCTCTGTCTCTACAGCTGAGGCCTTCTGATCTCATCTCTCTGGGCCCCACAGCTTCGTCTTGGGACCCTTTCCACTGATACGTGGTGCACTCCCAGATATTTGCTGGTGATGCCTGAATGTGAGACCCTTCTGCTCTCTCCTACTTAAAACCCACCCAACCACCTACCTCAAATGTTCATAATCTCGTCTCTTAGATTTCTCTGAACCTGTCTGACTGGTCCTGCTAGAAGATAAGTCTATAAGGGAACGTGTCATTCCCTTATATTCCTCAGCCTTGAAATTGTGACTTCCTGGTAAATTGTCTTCTGCAGCATCACTCCTGGTGTGATACTTGGTGATTGTAAAATGCACTCGGCAAACCTCTTACTGTTTAGGACCCATCCCCACAGTCTCCCAACTCCAGCAGCTCATATCTTAATCAAAACCAACATTCTTACAAGACGCTGCATGACTGGCTCACTTTCTCTTTCCTACGACTTTTAACGTTGCTGATTTTGCTCCAGTCACACATGGCTCTTTTCTGGCCTGGGACCATGCCAGACCTGTTCCTGCTTCAGGCTCTTGCGCTTGTGTTCCATCTGCTTGGAATGTCCCATGTCCCCCACCCCCCGTTACTCCCTCTGGACTTTATTGGGAGTTCCGCCCTGAGTGATAACCTCCTGGCCACTTTATCTAGATTTCTACTTCTTCCCCCTCAGTACTCCCCCCCACCCTTTCCTTATTTTGTCCTTAGTATTCAGCACTGCTTAATGCCCTAAATATTTTACTTATCTCATATGTTTGTGTCTCCATCATGAGAACAGAAGCAAGTGGCGATTTTGCTCCCTACTAAATGTTCAACACTTCAAGTATTTTTCATTAAATTATATTGAATTAGAGGAAGCATTTCACTTTTGAATCCAAATTCTAATGAAGAGGACCATGGTGTGTGCTTTTGACTACTGTTTCACTTACGTGGTCACCTTGTGTTCAGTAAACATCATTTTATAATGTGTGGTTATTGAAATGCAAGATAATTTGGACTATTTATTAATTTTAAAAAATACTTCTGAAAAATGGTCTGTGTTGAGATTTGCACACAATGTGTTCTCCTGTCACCCTACACAGTTAACTGTAGCTAGATACCACAATCCGTGTTTTAAGTAGACAGCTGCAGAAGGCTCTGTTTCTTGAGACATTCTTTTCTGCGTGAACTCATGTTTTTATGTTTCTTCAGCGTTCTTTCCGATCGGAGCTGTTTACGGGTCACAGGCGGTCCCGCGTCCCTGGACCTTGACGTCAGTGTCCAGAGGACTCTCGACAACAATCTGGCGACCGAGGCGTATGAGAGGAGGATCAAACGCCTTGAACAGGAAAAACTTGAGCTGAGTAGAAAACTTCAAGGTAAATATATGTTAATGATGGTACCTTTTCTTTTGGAGTTGGACTCAGTTTGAAGAACTGTTGATTATGAGGGGCCATTTTATCTTGAAAAGAAATTTCTGGAAAAAATCCAGTTGAAGGGGCACCTGGGTGGCTCAGTGGGTTAAGCCTCTGCCTTTGGCTCAGGTCTTGATCCCGGGGTCCTGGGATCGAGCCCCACATCGGGCTCTCTGCTCAGTAGGGAGCCTGCTTTCCCCTCTCTCTGCCTGCCTCTCTGCCTACTTGTGATCTCTCTCTCTCTCTCTCTGTCAAATAAATAAATAAAATCTTTGAAAAAAAAATCCACTTGAAGACTCATGCGGAAAACAGAATAATACTGTTTATGTAGACTCATGACCTTAACAGTACGACCCAGCATAGCGTTCATTTCCCCACAGGTACATATGTGCGCACATGAACTCGTCTGGGGAGGAGGAGATGGGGCTGCTCCTGGGAAAGGAGCCCTTCCCATCCCAGTGTAGCCCTGGGGATCACTGTCCTATTTCCTCAGCCTTGAAATTGTGACTTCCTGGCAAACTATCTTCTGCTGCATCACTCCTGGCGTGATACTTGGTGATTGTAAAATGCACTGGGCAAACCTCTTACTCTTCTGACTTCTCTTGGTCTCTTGATTCTTACACGTCCAAGGATCTTGTCCTCTGCTCTACCTTACCCGCTCCTGTCTTGAGACTACACTATCCAGAATTCTTTATTAATCAATTTCTTTTTTCTTAAGTCTTCTTTTCTTTTTAAGGTTTTATTTATTTGTCAGAGAGAGAGCGCGCACACAAGCAGGGGTAACAGCAGGCAGAAGGAGAAGCAGGCTCCCTGCTTAGCAGGGATGTGGGGTTTGATCCCAGATCCTGGGATCATGACCTGAGCCGAAGGTAGATGTTTAACCGACTGAGCCACCCAGGCACCCCTAATCTCAGCTTCAAGCAGACTCTGCATTGTCTCCTGTTCATAGTAGGCTAGTTCACTCCCTCGGGTGACTCCTGCATTCCTTCTGTCCCACCGGTACCTGGAGCTCTGTCCCCCTCACCCTGTGCCCTCCATCCTTCCGTGGTCAGTTGTAATCAGACCCTTACTTGTATACTCACATTCTTGTTCTGACTTCTGTCTGTCACACTCCCTTGCCAGAACCCCAGCCCTGTTGACCTGTATTCTGTCTGCGACTGTGTGAGTGAAGGTAACAGTCTTAGGACAGGCAGATGCCAACTGATCCCACCTGAGATTCAGGAGGATGGATCTTGAGTCCCATCTCAGTGAGTGCTGCCCAGCCGTCCTGCTTCCCAGGCTGCGGCTTCTCACCTGTCAGCATCTGACCCAGTTGAGGATCCCCCCCCCCCCCCCCGCAACAGCTCTTTCTTCTTTTGTCTTCTGGGACACTTGAATCTCCTGGTTTTCTTTTTCTTCATAAACCAGTTATTCTGTCTCGCTTCCTGGGTTCTCCTGAACATTTTGGCCTGTGCATGTCGGGGTCCCCCACAGCAGTCCAGGCTCTTAGGTGTTCAGAACTACAACCTTCCAGGCATCTTTAAGCCCTCTCCTTCTGTCACACCTCCCATCTCACCCGTCCGCAAACCCGGGCAGCTCTGGTGCCAGAGAAGATCCAGAGTCCAGTCCCCACTCTGGGGCCGTCACCCGTTCACATCACCGCCACCATCACCCACCTTCTTGTAACCGCTTTCTAGCTGCTTTCCCTGCCTTACCTCGCCCCCACCTCCTCCACCGTTCCTTCTGTTTCTAGCCTCCCTGGGCTGTTCTTTCCACAAATCAGGCATGTTCCCACCTCAGGGTCTTTGCATTAGCTGTTGACCTGCCTTAAATTTTCTTCCTTTGGTGTTCCATGACTCCTTCCCTTACTTCCTTCAGGTCTTTGAGTGTTACCTTGAAATGAGGCCTTCCTGACCGCTCTGTTTAAAACGTAGTCTTGCTTTACCTCCAGCACTTACTCTCCCTCTTTCTTCCTTTATTTTCTCCAGAGCAAAGGACAAAACGTATGATTTATTTTACTTACTCCTTTTTTGAATGAAGGAATGTATGAATAAATAATCAAAAAACTTGTAACTCTTAAGAGTGAAAGAAGTAAGTTTTACAACAACAAAGTTTTGCTGTTACGCTTTTATAGGCCCCGTGGAGAAAAAACTGCAGACACCAATAAAACAGACTGATTGTATTTTTCAATAAGTTGCTAAGATCTCTGCATGTGGATTACTACTTCTTTGTATTGAAAGTTGTTAGTTTTGACTTTTTAATGCAATATATTTACCATATATCATTGTATAAATTTACTATGTACACCTTGTTAATTCAGTACATTTATATACTGTAGTAAGATTGTTGTAGTGACGTTTGGTACTTCTGGCGCGTACGTAATTACAGTACAGCATTGTAATCTGTGTTTATGACACTGTGCATTAGGTCTCTGTGACTTATTTACTACATATTGCGAGTTGGTACCCTTAAACCACATCAGTCTCATGTGCCCACTCCTGCCCCATCCCCTGGTAACCACAGTGTTACTCTCTGTTGTTTATGCACCGTACCCAGTGCTCCATGCAGTACATGCCCTCCTTCGTACCCACCACCAGGCTCAGCCATCCACCCACTCCACTCCCCTCCAAAACCCTTAGTTTGTTTCTCAAGAGTCCACAGTCTCTCATGGTTTGTCTCCCCGCTAACTTCCCCCAATTCACTTTTCCTTTCCTTCTCCTAATGTCCTCCATGTTACTCCTTATGCTCCACAAGTAAGTGAAACCACATGATAATTGACTTTCTCTGCTTGACTTCCTTCACTCAGCATAGTCTTCTGGAGAGGATGTGAGGAAAGGGGAATGTTCCTCTTACGCTGTTGGTGGGAATGCAAGTTGGTGCAGCCACCTTGGAAAACAGTGTGGAGATTCCTTAAGAAATTAAAAATAGAGCTACCCTATGACCCTGCAGTTGCACTACTGGGTATTTACCCCAAAGATACTGATGTAATAGGTTTGACTTTTTTAGATCTCACATGTAAGTGATGTCCTGCAGTTCTTGTCTTTCTGTGACTGACTGAGCATCCACCATCCTTATTGTCACAAATGGCAGGAGACTCTCCTTGCTCGGGGCTGAATAACATTCCATTGTGTACTTATACCCCATCTTTTTTAACCATTCATCCATTGATGAGACTTTAGGTTGTCACCATATCTTGGTTATTGTGAATAATGCTTCAGTTAACATGAGAGTGCACGTATCTCTTCGAAATCCCACTTTCATTTCCTTTGAGTCTATAACCAGGCGTGGAATTGCTGGATGGTCCGCCAGGTGGATTTTTAATTTTTTTGAGGAAAAAATTAAAATAAAAATTAAAATAAAGTAATGTTTTCACTTGTGCTTGGACCAGTTTACATTTCCCCCAACTGTATTCCCTTTTCAATCCATCTCCGTCAGCACCTACTGTCTCTTGTTGTCTTCTTGATAGCCATTCTGACAGTGTGAGCATCATGACATTGTGGTTTTGATTTGCATTTCCCTGATGATGGGTGATGGTAAGCATATTTTCATGTGCCTGTTGGCCATTTTGAAGTACTCTTCGGAAAAGCATCAATTTAGTTCTTCTGCCCATTTTTAAATTGGATTGTTTTTTGTCATTAAGTTGTACAAGTTCCTCGTATATTTTGAATATTATTAGCTCCTTATCCAATATATCGCTTACAAAAGTTTTCTCCCATTCTGTAGGTTGCCTTTTCATTTTGCTAGTTGTTTCTTTTGCCTTATAGAAGGGAGCTTTGAGTTCCATGTAGTTCCATTTGTTGATTTTAGCTTTTGGTGTTTGTGCTTTTGGCATCACATCCAAAATATCATTGCCAAGACCAATGTCTGGGAGCTTCTAACCTATGTGTTCTTGAAGTCTTGCTATCAGGTCTTATGTTTAAGTCTTTGATCTCTTTTGAGTTGATTTTTGTAAGTGGCCTGAGAAGAGCCCATTTTCATTGTTCTGCATGTGTTTCTCCAGTTTTCCCAGAACCATTTGTTGGAGAGACTATCTTTTCTCCATTGGGTGTTTTTGGCTCCCTTGTTGAATATTAGTTGACCATCTATGCCAGCATTTCATCCTGGGCTGTTTTGTTCTGCTGCTCTGTGTGTCTGTTTTTGTACCAGTAAGATGTTGTTTTTATTACTGTAGCTTTGTAGTATAGTTATTAGGAAGTGTGATGCCGCTAGCTTTGTTCTTTTTGTCGGGACTGCTCTGTCTCTCAGGGTCTTTTGTGATCCCACAACAGATTTTAAGATTGTTTCTTCTATTTCTGTGAAGAATCCCTTGGGTGTTTTGATGAATATTATGTTAAATCTGTAACATGGCTTTGGGTATTATAAATGTTTTAATGATATTAATTCTTCTGATCAGTCAACATGCAATAGTTTTCCGTTTGTTTCATCTTAAATTTCTTTCAGCAAAATCCTACAGTTTGTATTGTACAGATCTTTCCCTTACTGGGCTAAATTTTTCCTGAGTATTTTGTTGTTTTTGATGCTACTGTGAACAGGATAGTTTTCTTTCTTTTTCAGATGTTTCATTATGACTGTAAAGGAAAACAATAGAGTGATATGTGTTGATTTTGAATCCTGCAACTTTACTGAATTTGTGGATCAGTTCCAACAGTTATCTTGGTTTGCTCTTTGGGATTTCCTGTATATAAAATCATATCAACAAATAGGACTAATATTATTTACTTCTTTCTCATTTGACAGTCTTTTATTTCTTTGTCTTGCCTGACTTCTCTAGCTAGGACTTCCACTACTATATTGATAGGAGTGGAGAGAGTGGGCATCCTTCTCTTGTTCCTGATTTTAGAGGAAAAGCTTTCAGTTTTTCTCCATTAAATGTGAGGTTAGCTTTCAGTTTGTTGCAAGTGGCATTTATTTTGTTGAGCTGTGTTCCTTTTATATCCAGTCTGCAAAGGGTTTTTATTATGAAAGGATGTTGCATTTTTTTCAGA